TGAATGAAGTATCGAATTTTGCAGTCAAGAAAGGAAGTAAGGAGAGTTCGGTGATCTCTTGGACAAATCACCCCCCCCCTACGATAGTCAAAATAGGGCCTGTACGCAAGGCCAAGGGCAAGGAAAGGTCCGAGGCTCTGACGGCGGAATGACCCGTGACACGATCCTACGCTCGGGCCCATAACAAATAGGTGGGCTGCTGCATTACTAGACCTGGGCACAAAAGAAAAAGAAAACATCAACTCCTCGACAAGGGTGGTGTTCAGTTTCATGGAACAGCCACAAAATATTGCATTTTGGGTTTAGGACATTCGGCTAGTTCATGGTGTGGATCACACCACGAGCCAATTTCTTGTCCACGGGTTTATCTTGTGCATTAGACCACACTACCTTGTTGTATGGGATGAAGAGTTATCCCATGCTTTGCATCTCATATTTACCCTATGTAAGTATGTAGAGTTCACCCAAACCTTCAAAGAACACTCAGACACCAAGAGTAGCACCACAGAAGCCTTCACGCTGCGATAAATTTGCGGCACATCGCTACCTTTGTGATGAACCTACAACGCATTAAGCAAAACCACGATAAACCCGCGGTCCACCAAGTCCAGTCAATGCTCGAACCTAAATAAACCTTAGAAAGACCCTTCCATGAGACCCAAGCACACCTAAGCGTGCGATGTTGCCACACCTGCTACGACGTGCGATGAACTCACAACCTGCGAGCCCGCTCTTGATGATGGGTTGGCGAGGCCCATGTTTGCTCGGACACATGCGAACCCACTGACAACAACGGACTTTGCGAGCCACCACGTGGAATTGACGAAGTTCCGACTGTCGAACGGTGACGTCACTGTTGCCACATAGGACTAGTTATGACGTGCAAAAAGGTAGTAGCACACGTGAGTAATGAGGGATTTCAAGGATAAGGAAAGCCAATCCTTGAGAAGATCCTCATGAGACACATGGTGATACCCTAGTAGCGCATCCAATAATTGACAGCGAATCAAATATTCCCTTCCTTGATATGGAGCGAATATCCTCATCTCCTACCTTTTTTAGGATCTCGGGACCTCCTCCATAAATAGAGATCCTCCTCACATTAGAACTCATCCGATCCCAAGCCATCTGTCACCTAGCATTCCCAGAGTACACCCCAAGTTTTCCCCTATCTTTCCCGCATCCTCGACCTAAGAAGATCCTCCCTTCCCTGTTCGCGAGACCCTTCTCTGTCTTTCAAAGAGACCACTTTCTACCCCAACCTTCCGCCGCCTACAGTAGAATCTCTGGTTCATCTTTGATCACAGAGAATGGCCTCAAGAAGAATCAACGTCACCACCATCCTAGAGGAGCAGAGCAACACTCAAGAAAATGCTAACCTTGGAGCTGAAAACTAGCCCAAAATGCAAACGCCTATCTAAGCTGATATTGAGATCTTGTCGAACAAGGTCTATTGGTTTGAGGTGCTCTTCGAAGAACGGTTCAGAAAACTCGAAGAGAGCCAAGAGGAGACAAGGAGCACTCTCCAGATCCTGCTCAACCCTTCAGCTCAAGCCGAACAGACCCCTGGTTGCTACTATCCCTGGCGTCCCAAATTCTAACCCCAACCCCAGTCGCCACGCCTCTAACCCTACACCCACTGTCCTAGAACAGCCCAACAGGGCCAACCCGACCCCAACTCAAGCGGGTTACCACACCACCCACCAATTTCACACCTTCCCCCACATCGACTCGATAACGAAGACCCCTTTTAGCCGGGGCGAGCTGAGGGAATACGTCTAGGGGCTGGTAGTCGAAAGCTGTAACTGGGTCCAGGATTCGGCCGTCTTGCAAAAGCCCTACTCCGATCGCATCCTATACAAGCCCTACCCTATCGGGTACACCCCTCCCCAACAATGGCCTCAATACAACGGACAGAGAGGTAGCCTGCAGGAGCACATCAGCAAGTTCGAGGACATCCTTGGCTCCTTCCCTCTCGATGGAGACCTCAAAGTGCGAGAGCTTTCGAAGTCGCTGACCAGCCCAGCGTACACATGGTTCGTAAGTCTCACCCCTGGGAGCATCGATTCATGGGGCAAATTAGCCAAGAAGTTCTTGTCAAAATGGTTCATCTTAGAAAGGAAATTGACAATGGACGATCTACGAAACGTAGAGCAAGGACCAGGAGAAGATCTCCTGGCCTGCGTCATGAGATTCCGGAAACTTAATCACTCTGTCTTCGATGAGCACACCATTGAAAGAAGTTTTGTTGAGTAGTGTGTTCAGGGTATGCGCCCTACCCATAGAATCGGCATCGAAAACATTGAAGTCGAAACCTTCAGCCAACTCTGGAGGTGCACGGAGAGAATAGCGCGAACTGTCAAAGACACCTCCCCATATAACAGAAATGAGGCATACATAGTTGACAAGAGACCCAGGAACAATGAAGGAGCCAAACAAGGGCCGTATTAGCAAGACAGTGCCCAAGGGAAGAGAAACCCACTGCCACCCCCTCCCTTCTCCTGCACAAGGGAGGAGGTGGTCTTGAACATGAACAACCTAGTGGAAGACAGGGTCATTAGCCTATTGCCGCCACCGCCAGGAGTAGACCTAGAGAAAGACAAGCGTAGAGGAAGGTGGTATAACTACCATCAGACACCACACTACGACTTAATGGATTGCTTCACACTGAGGAGGATGTTCGTGCAGAAGGTAAAGTTAGACCGGTTCGTAAAGAAGGACCCAACCCGCGTGGAAATTGATCTCCTCCTAGCCCATACCCAGGGAGGCAGCATCAACATAGTTGGGGCGTCCAAACAGTACCAGGCTGACGCTCTGATAGAGAAACTAGAACAAAGTGAAGAACTACGACAGTTCTTCACCAAACAGGGGGCCAACACAACAACACAGAAGTTGGCCATTAGAGCATTAGCAGAGATATTCCAACACCCTCTACAACCCTATAGTCGCGACCGCAATAGTGTAGAGTTCATAGCAGATGACATGTTGGTTGCTGACCCCCATCACAATACATCATGGCAAAGATAGGGGGTTTCAACATGAAAAGGTTGATGGTCGACCTGGGAAGTTCTATTAACCTCATTTCCATCCATACACTAGAGTTAATGAATGTTCGAAAGGAGGACATCAAGGGATTGCCTTTAGAGGTAACAGACTTCAACGGGAACCCGTCTATCACCGAAGGGTCCATCGAACTACAGGTTACGATCAGGCCATTCACCATAGTACAAGAGTTCTAGGTAATCTCGGGAAGGACCTGCTATTACGCTCTCTTGGGGCACCCACTGATCCATGACCTCACCCTCGTCCCCTTGACGTACCACCAATGCATCAAAGCCAGATACCGAGGAAGATCGATAAGGATCCCAACCACCAGGGCCCCGTTTGACAAGTCTAAAACGCACCTCCAAGACGCCATCTACTTCACGATGTTAGCAGAAGATGGCGAAACAAGGATAGCCAAGGTTGAGGAAACGAAGCTGCCGCACCCACCTGAGGGCGAATCTACAGGAACATCGGAACATCGGAAGAGAAGTAGATGCGTCCGAATGATAGGGGATGACGGGAAGGAGTACTACACCATTGTTGAGGACCATGAGGACGACAAGCCACCTGCAGCTAAGAAGATCATTTCTGAGGTATGATTCTATAATTTGTTTAGCGTAGCCTTATCGCAGCATGTACCAAAAGCAATGTATATTTTCCAAAAAAGGGGATTCAACCTTGATCTATTATTTGCTACAAAGTCACTGCATTTCTTTAACGGAAAACTCTAAGTAATGTCTCAACTAGTACCATTTCACCACATTGCAAATCGATGTCGGTACAGTCACACCATCAAGCAATAATCCAACCATTGGACATGACACAAAGGTACAACATTTAAAACACAGACCCATATAGACATGAAACTCCCAGAATTTGAGACAAATAATAACTTGAACAACCTCAGGAGTCGAAAGAAGATACATTGGAATACTACGATGAGGTCAGAGTACCTTCGAGGTGCATGACGGATTCCATCGATATGGTCGAGGAACCATTGGAGGAGATCAACCTAGCAACTGATGGAACAGACAAAAGACCTTTATATATATCCGCTAAGCTAGCAGCCGAGGACAAAGGAAAACTCATCGCACTTTTAAAAGAATTTTAGGATGTATTTGCCTAGTCATACGACCAGATGTCGGGACTAGATTTAGAACTTGTCTGCCATTCCTTATGCATAGATCCCAAGTTCCGACCAGTGAAGCAGCCACAAAGGATCTTTGAGCCAGAAATAACTCTAAAGATCAAGGAGGAAGTAGAGCGACTTTTGAAAGTAGGCTTCATTAAACCTATAGCGCATCCTCAGGGGCTTGCCGATGTGGTCCTTGTAAAGAAGAAGAACGTACAATTGAGGTGTTGTATCGATTTTAGGGACCTAAACAAAGCCTGCCCAAAAGATGGGTTCCCTCTTCCCAACGTATTGATAGACTCAACCACGGGACATGAGCTCTTCTCCTTCCTAGATGCCTATAGTGGATACAACCAAATCTTCATGGATCCTGCAGACGCACCCCACACGGCCTTCAAGACACCCATAGGGAACTTCTATTACAAGATGATGCCCTTTGGCTTGAAGAATGTCAGGGTCACATACCAGAGGGCAATGACTAGCGTCTTCAACGACATGATCCATAAGGAAATTGAGTTTTACGTAGATGACGGTTGTCAAAGCAAGGAAAAGAGAAGAGCACTCAGAGGTTTTGAGAAAGGTGTACAAGGTGCAGAGAATTCAAGTTGAGATTGAATCCACTAAAGTGCGCATTTGGGGTACAGTCCGGGAAGTTCTTAGGCTACTGGTTAGATCAGACCGGGATACACCCAGACAAAAACAAGGTTAAAGCCATCATAGACCTCTAGCCTTCGGCAAACGAATCCCAATTAAAAACCTTCCTAGGAAAAGTTTCATATTTAAGAAGGTTCATCCCCGGCCTCGCGCACGCAGCCCTGTCGTTGATGAAGTTAGTCAAGAAATCTATCGAATTCAGATGGACTCAAGAGCATCAAGACTTTTGAGCAATTAAAGACAACACTGGCTAGGGCACCGACGATGTCACCACCCAAGGACGGGTGAGAATTCAGAATATACATTGCAATAGGGATTGAGGCCATAGGATGCCTATTAGCATAGGAGGATGAGAGCAAAGTGGAGCTCCCCATCTATTACGCTAGTAGGACCCTCAAACCGGCGGAGAAGAACTATTCCCACATGGAGCAACAATGCCTGGCCCTGTTTTTTTATACACGAAAATTCATGCACTGCATACTAGGGCAAAAGGTGAGACTCATCGCACAAAGCGACCCAATTAAGTTCTTCATGGACAGACCCCCTCTTTCTGGCAGACCCATCAAATGGATGATGCAGCTCAATGAGTATGCGATAGAGTACACACAGTCTAGAGCTATTAAGTGTCAAGCTGTAGCAGATCTATTGGCCACTTTCCCATTGAGCATAGACTTTCCTATATCAGATAAGGTTCTTGGAGAAACACCCATGATTGCCCTAGCCAAAAGAAGAGAATGGGTCCTAACCTTCGACGGGAGTAGCACGAGTACATCGGTCGGTGCTGGAGTAACCCTAACCTCGCCTGATGGACATACCTCCTTTAAACTTCAATTCCCCTGTTCCCACAATATAGAAGAATACGAAGCACTGGTCCTTGGCCTGATCAAAGCAATAGAAGCTGGCGCGAAGAAAATAAAAGTAAATGGTGATGCCAAACTGGTGATCAGAGAGCTCGATGGAAGCACGACGGTGAAAGAGCTAACCATCCTACCATATAGGACCCTGATCCAGAAGCTAATCTGCAACATGGACGTAGACTTCAAACACTAGAGTAGAGCCAAAACACAGGTTTGCTGACGCATTAGCCACCTTAGGGTCCAAAGTGCAAGCCAACCCAGAGCCAATAGAGATTACCATCCAATCGGTTGACAAACAATCGACTTTTACCTTGAGGGACCAAGTGTAAGAAGAGCGTAAAATAGCAATAGATGATTGGTGATATGAAGTAATACAGAAGCTAAAAAGTTAGGCCATAGGGACACAAGACATCGGGCTAATCACAAAGTTCCAACTAGTGAATGGGGTGTTGTACTACAAAGAATTAGATGGTGTAAGGACAAGGTTTCTAGGCAAGTCAAAGGTGGAATCGCTGCTGAATGAAGTTCACAAGGCCATTTGCGGGGATGTCACAAGTACGCTATTCCATAAACTGCAGAGGTTAGGGTATTACTGGTCTACGATGAAGCGGGACTCTACTAAGGTGCAAAGAGAATGTGACAAATGCATCCCATAGACAAATTACAGAGAATGTCTAGCAATCTATGAAGAGGATTAGAGACAGATGTATATAGAATACCTACAGGAACACACACTGCCTATCGACATTACATTGAGGAGGAAGCTACTATCTAAGGTTAAGAGGCTCTACCTCCAAGATGGAATGTTGTACATGAAATCAAACACAGGAAAGCCTCTACGATGCTTAGCCTGTGAAGAGATTGACGATGTCCTAGAGGTAGCCCACAGTTCTGAACTTGTAGCCCACCAAGGCCAGCTCGCCCTACATAACCATACCCTACACCTAGGCTTCTACTGGCCAACTATGATGGAGGACACATAGCGACATGTGCTCCGATGCTACAAGTGCCAAATCCATGGTGAAAGGATCGATAAGCCTGCCAACAGCCTTCACCCGATCATTACACCCTGGCCATTCCACACTTTGGGGGGTAGACCTAATAGGCAAAATACACCCACCCTCTAGAGGATACTGTTTCATCATCGTAGCCACAGACTACTTCACCAAGTGGGCAGCGGCCATCACCCTGTGACGAATCTATGTAGCTAACATAGCAAATTTTCTAAGACAACATAATCCACACATTCGGAGTACTAATGCGGATATTGACCGACAACAACCTACCTATCAAAAAGTCCATGACCTCCTAGGGCAATATGGGGCAAGATTAGGAACGTTTACAACATATTACCCCCAACAAAACAGTCAGGCAGAGGCCACAAACAATACATTATTAAGAATGTTGAGCAAAACAGTGGATGATAATCAAAAGGATTGGGTAGACAAGCTATCGAAAACACTTTGGGCTTATCGTACATCTATCAGAAAAAGTACACAGGCGACACCCTACTCCTTAGTCTACGATCAAGAGGTAGTACTCCCAACAGAGATAAAAGTCGTGTCCTCCAGGGTAGCTTTCACGATGGGTAAGAAGATCAAGCCAGAAAACTTAGATGCACTACTTGCAGACAGACTCGAGGTAGTGGATGAAATTAGAGGCACAGCCTCTCAGAAGCAAAGCAAGTACAAACAGGCCCTAGCCAACAATTTCAATAGACACCTAAGGCCTAGAAGTTTCAAAGAGGGGGACGAAGTACTGAAGACGGCTCTCAACGTTCGGTAAGGCAAGTCTGCGGGAAAGTTCGCACCAATGTGGGAAGGGCCGTACTTAATAAAGAAAGCCCATAGTTCGGGCTACAATGTATTAAAAACCATAGACATGAATGAGGATGATGAAACCATAAACGGTTACTGGTTGAAACCTTACTTTGATTAGCCATATGCTTTTGTAATCACATAAACAAATGTACATGTTTTACATTCATGATGTTTTATATGACATTTTTTTTTCTTCAATCACTCTTTGACCTGCGATGAAGTCTAGCATTCTAATTGCGATAAAGTTGTTCTACCCTTCAATTAAGAATACATATATCTGTAAATGATATACTACTATTTGTTTTTTTTTTACACTTGCTTACATACACATCTTGCTTATTGTTACACAATCTGTTTTGTTATACTCACAAAGCCCTGACAACCCCAAGCACTCTCATTCTATGGCCAGTTCAATGATGCTGCATGCTCCATGTAAAAGCGCTAGACACCCCGGTCACACCACTAAGTCCTGGAACCGCAAGCACATATACAAAGCCCCAGAACCCCAGACACACATACAAAGCCCCGGATACCCCAGGCACTCTACTAAGCCCTGGCACCCTGGGCACACACAAAAAGCCCCGGACACCCCAAGCACTCTACTAAACCCTGGCACCCCGAGCACACATACAAAGCACTAGACACCCTAGGCACTCTACTAAGCCCTGGCACCCCGAGCACACATACAAAGCCCCAAACACCCTAGGCACTCTACTAAGCCCTGGCATCCCGGGTACACACACAAAGCCTCGAACACCCCAGGCATTCTACTAAGCCCTAGCACCCTGGGCACACATACAAAGCCCTGAACACCCCAAACACTCTACTAAGCCTTGGCACCTTAGGCACACATACAAAGCCCAGGACACTCTAGTTACTCTACTAAGCCCTGGCACCCCAAGCACACAAACAAAGCCCCGGACACCCTAGGCACACCACTAAGCCTTGGCACCTCGGGCACACAAACAAAGCCCCGGACACCCCAAACACACCACTAAGACCTGGCACCCCAGGCACGCAAACAAAGCCCTGGACACCTTGAGTAGACCACTAAGCCCCGGAACCCCAGGCACAGACAAGCCTGGCAACCCTAGGCACAAAAAAGCCCTGGTAACCCAAGGCACAAATAAAGCCCTGGAAACCCCAGGCACAGACAAGCCCTAGCAACCCTATGCATAGATAAAAGCCCTGGCAACCCTAGGCACAAACAAGCCCTGGCAACCCCTAGGCACAGATAAAGCCTTGGCAATCCCAGGCACTACCAAAACCCTGGCAATCCTGGGCACAGCCACACCCCCCCCATGTTACCGTTGGAGGGCTTCATCGATGATAGATGCGATTCTTATCCAATTTATAACTACAGACACTTTGTCAAATTCTAATAAACTAACGACAGACAAACTTCATCTGTCTCTACATTGGCAATAAACTTCGCCAAAGAACAACACTTCGCTTCCCCAAACATGGTTGCGATGAAATTCTAACCTATGCTACCTACTTATAGCATGATTGAGGCCCAACTGTATCACCCATGAAGAGTCTTGCCTTCTTAAGGCACAACAGCCAACGATAAAAAATGGAGCAATACAGAGAAGATTAGCATGACCCTTGTGCAAGGATTACAGACATCCACAAAATCATTGGGGGGGGGGGGGTTCCGCCATCAGGACGCATGACCCCCCACCAAAATTCACAAACATAAATACCCATTCCCATAGAAAAATCTGGAAGGACAAATCTCACCCATGCAGCATTAGCGATAACACGTCACTTGTACTATCAGTCGTGATAGACCCAACAGTCATTGCACAACTCATGAACAATTTACGATAAAATGACATTCCACATCACTCAGCTTCTCCACATCTAGGAATCACATTCCCTATTTTAGAAAACTGCAATTTCAAGGATCAATCTTGAACCAAATTGGACCAGATCTGAAACCAAAAGGGAGGAGAGGGATATACTAGATACGAAGTAGTAGTAGCTCCCAATGAAGGTGTTCACGCCCAAATTTCAAGGTGTTCACGCTCCCAATTTCAAGGATCAATCCATTGAAGATGACACGGTGTGAGGTGAAACAGGATCAGTTTGACAACTCTTCAGCAAGAACCAAACTCTTCAGCAAGAATGGAGTAGAGGGCTAGTGAGCACGACTTCAGATTGCTTCTTCTACCAAGAAGCAATATCAAGAACAATTCTTGATCACTCCCACAAGTGGAGATCGAACTAGGTAGGGGCGGCAATAACAGGGAAGAACTCTGCAGATTGCTGTGTTGTGTATAACTGAGGAATTCACCCCCTTTATTTATAGCCTTCTCAGGATCAACTTCCTAATCCAATTAGGAGAGAGTTCCTTAATCCAAATCTGATATTTGGATTTGGACTCTTGAATGGATAAGACTTATCTTATCTTTCTACTAATCCTAATCAAATTATAAATCCTATCTTGCCCCCTTTTAATTAACTAACTTAAGCGTAGTTCGAATTAGGCTTTAAGCCCATTAAGTTTATGTGCTCACTTAACCTCTTAAACTGTTGCCCAATTGTCTTTCTTTGTATGGTGTGGGACCCGAACATTGATCTACACATCAGTCACATGGGTTCAGCCCAGCCTTTGTTACAAGGCTTGACCGAATTCATTATAGGAGATGATCACCCACTCAGATGAATTCTCGAACTGTCCCAATATACCCAGGTTTTGATCTTCTCTAAGGATCTCATTGATTGGCATATCAAAAATAGCCCGATCCGATACTTAGTGCAGTACTATAATCGAGTTTAGGAGTTAGGTGTAATATTCTAATTTTGTCTATCTTCAAGGTCTAGGGAAATACTGGAATTTTGGTCTGGTTCCAGGTTTCAATAAAATCCACATCAGTGTCAGCCTTGTCAGGATAAATCTCCCCAAATCTATCCAACGAGTATGAAGATTCTAAACTAACACGAGTCTCATAAGTGTTCAATTTAAGGGTATTACATACAAATACACCAAAACACATGAATCAATTATGTAATTTTATTCATTTACAATAAATGTCATCAAGTACATCAATCTGATTGGAGCTAAGGGCATACACTGTCTAATACAAGGATCCGCTCCTGCCACGCACATTCTTCCCTCAAGCCCTCAAACTTCTCCGCAACCCGAGCGACGCTTGCTTTGACTACCTTCTGGCGCCCCCGGACATCCTTCATTGAACGGAACAAGTTGATCTGAGGCATGTCCCGACTAGCCTTCTAGAAGGCGTGTGCCAATACCACAACCTGCTTCTCCATTTGTTCCATGAAGAAACCCATCAATGAGAAAGCCCGACATGCCTCCAGCCAGCCGGAGAATTCAGCCCATGGTAAATCCTCTGACGGGTGGGCCATTACACAATTGGTTAGCGTGGCAATGGTGGATGCAGCCTTCCTTCTGGTAACCACTTTGCACGAATCGTAGTTGACGTGAACTTGGCAACGATGTTGGAAATGCTGTACTGCACACCCTTGCCATAAACCTGTACCGACTCCACCACCGGGAAGTGCAATAACGGGAGATTGTAAACTCGGGTTCCATGTCTTCATTTCCCGAGTGGCGTTCCATGTCACCCGAAGCCTCAGGTGCCACAAAGTCGTTGACCTCACGCTGTGGAGAAGCACCCTCGGAAGCACCGCTCACCGCAACATGGGGGGAGGCTCAACAGATGTCCTCTCCCCTATATCCCCAGAGACATCAGCATGACCAACAGCAAAAGTAGACTCTACATGCCGTGTCACTGCCTCTGAACCCATAGACGGGTGCACTTCCTGGACAATGGAGTCACAGACGTCGTTGCCACCTTCAACATCCTGCGCAACCATGGATTCAACTCTAGGGGGCTGCATTGCCCTAAACTCCTCGGCTAGATGCCTACAGAAGGGCGTGTTTGGCATCCCGAGTAGAAATCTAAAGAAGAAAGCCTGCGATAAAGCCAAGTACAAACAGTCAGTTTAACGATACCGGTCATACGCCAAATATTGAATGAGTAATGAAACACAGTCGTGCCCTACCTCTTGATCCGCTTCATTAATGCCCAAAACATCCTCACTGGGTTGAGTTTCATCGTGGTTAACCGACTTCAAAACAAAGGATTGTTTTACGATTAGTCCTCGCAACATATACTAACAATCACACATTCAAATTTAACACATAGGCTTAAGTACTCACCAAACCTGCTCCGACAAAGGAGGTGACCGGGGCCTCTATCGTCTAATCTGGAGGCACCACCCGAACCTCCGTGTCCACATGAGTACCTTCACACTCCGCAGATTGCAAAAATGAAAGGGCAAGCAACATTAATGCAACTCTTTGTTCAACCAAGCATAAAAATGTAAGGTAGAGTGCAAAGTAAGATAAGCTTACTGAATCATCACCCCCGATACCTCGCTTCGGGTGAGGGGGAGCTTTCCTCTTCATTTGCCCGCTCGAGAATCGGACGATAGCACCCCCCGGAGAGGATACAGTAACTAACAGCTCCACCGACTTCATGATCGGAGCAGCCCCCCCCAACGGGAGCCGTTGTCGAAGCCCCCTGATCACTTGCAAGCTCATGCTATGAAGACACAACCGGAGGCTCCGGTACCACACCAAACCACGGAGGATAGGGCACCCTCACAGACCATACCCTCTTCACAACTGGAGGATAACTGCTCTCACCCTCCTCCAAGACCAGGGGTCCCTTCTTGCGTTTAGCTCCAACCATCTCTGATGGTCGCGACGCAGTAGGGGGTGGGACGATACCCCGGTTGGTGGTATGACCCTCGTAGGAGCCAAAGAGTGACAAAGTGGAGAGGTTCTCCTGACTACCTCTTGAAAGCCCACAACATCGCACAAAGATAGGACAACTATAGAGCCCTACATCTCTACACCCTGAACAAGCCAGCAACTGGTAGACGCGAGCACTCTAGAAAAGCACAGTTGTGCCGCCGAGTCCAGAAGACATTATCTCCCGAACACTACAAAATTGGCCACCCAGATCATCATATCCAAACTGGCGCATCACTCGGTCCGGACGATAAGCAACCTGTTGCGCCTCTCCAATGTGATCAAGATAGGCCACAACCCTGGGTCACATGACCAAATGGACTATGCCTGCAATAGGACACGGACATCCATTGCACACTGTTGATCGGTGTCATTAGGAACAGGGGCACCAACATAAAATGGGATTGCGTTGCGCACTGGGTGAGCGTACAACCTCCATTCAAACCCGTCCAACAAAGCCAACAACACGCCGATTTCAGCCATCTTGAACCTCTTATGGCGAGTAGGTTGCAACCACCATTTCCCCTAGAAACATCGAAAACCTTCTCCTCAAACTTCTCCCCCTGCAGAGTAGCAACAAAGACCTGGAAACACGTGAGGGGATGCGGAGTGATAGCAAGATCAAACCTTTCGCATAGAAACATCCAAAGAAAGGGCACACAAACATGGTTGACACGCCTCTTACAGCTCGGATCCACTAACTGCTGAACAGTGTTGTCCAGCATACCCCCACGTACATAGAAGCCAGAGGAAGTTGATGACCGGATGTGGCAAGAATAGCAAGCAACACCAAAGAGGTACGCAGACTATAATTAGGAGGACAGGGGAAAAGGAAATGAGATACAACATACAGAATGAAGGCCGCAAGATGGCACTGACTATCCGTGCTTCTCACTATTACATCTGCTAGAACAGAAACTGAACTAAAGAAGACAACCGGAGACGAAAACAAAAATTGAATGCGATAGGAGGTCACCTAGTTTCCCTTTCGCTAGTTTTATAGAGACTTTCCGATACTCGCACACGTAGCAGACCAAACGACACTAGCAAAGACGAAAGGACACTTGTGCAATGCTCGAAATAATGCTTAGCAGAAAAGCAATCGAAACAATTACATTAATTTAAATGAAGCGACACGTCAGTAACCGCCACTGGACAATATCAGATATTGAATTCGCCCTGCATGTGCAACTGATTCGCAATGATTTTGAAGCAAAAATCGAATGGCCACTACTAACGAATGCTACATGGCCGTCCCCGACAGACCCCTCTGTCGCTATCAATCACAGAACACCGATAGGAAACTAAATCGCATGTTCTTGACAAGAGATGGACACAAAACCGATTCAAATGTCACATGGAGAAGGTTCTCACCCACACCAAGCCATTCCTCCTTTGTAGGGATTATAGTCCGAGAAGGATTGACGACATAATCGCTATACCGAAATCAGCCAGAGAAGCCAAAGCACACAGAAAAAATAGGGCAGCAACAGTACCTCGGCTAACCATCCCTGCACCCATATCCAAGGGAAGGGCCACAACATAGCTAAACCGGAAAACTGCAAGGAACGTTGCTCAATCTACGAAACATGCCACCACACCATTGGTGTCACTCGGCCATGACCAATCAAAGCAGAACCAAGCTACCCGCAACCAATTCTCAAGAATATAGGACAACGTAAAGGGCAGTAAATTAAGTACACTAAAAAGCAGTAACACTAAGTGAATTCATTTAGAATTAATTAAAAATGATTACAATCATAATATACAAATTTCATAAAGCGGCCCACTCATCCCCCATCGCCTCTATACTCTCAAGTAGAGGCCTCCGAGCTTCAAACGCCGTTAGTTCGCGCATCTCTGCTTTGCACTCCACCACCACCTAAAGGTCCGCTAACCTCTGGGCAATCTTAGAAAGCTTTGCCTCAGCCGCTTCAATACGACGACGCACGTCCCTCAGAAACTGTCCATAGACCAATGACGACTCTCCAAGACCGGCTTTCTAGAATATGTGCACCACTAGAATGACGCGCACTTTTAGGTGTTTAACGCCACCAGTAGAATGGCAGCAAAAATCCCACAAGTCCTCAACTACTAAGCGAGTACAGACCAAGACATCTAATCTAAAGGGAGATTCATAATTTCGGACATCACCGTCGCATGGGCGTTTAACGCTAGACCGATGACGACGGAGGGAAGTTCGAAGGGTGGCAATCAAACACCTTGAATGATCGCCTCCACGAATTTCACCACTGCCCCTGTCACCATAAACCTGTCACCCGGACAAATTCCTTGAACAGGAACGCCTTCGACGGCTTTGTACACCAAAGGGGCTATGAAATTCTCCCCATAATGCTGCACAAGTAGCTGACGGACCAAGCAAGCTCTGAATGTCACCTACCCTATTAGGTGCTGACTCCATTGGAGACGACGAATTAGAACCAATAGACTTGCTGATAGCCATCATGCGTGTGGCATCGGGAACCCCAGGACAAGCAAGACAAGAAAGGTGGATCAAACGCAGACGATGACAAGCAATAGGAGACACCGCAACCAGGTCGCGAAAGGCAATATCTAGACGATGACAAACAACTCATAAATCTGCCCCCGAGAAAAATGATGACTACGGCTATAGCTTAGTCATCAATTAGCACCCGACCACAAAAAAACAAGCACCGATTGTCAAAAGGCTGCACTCATAACTATATTTCGCGTTGTCTTTCACTGATTTTCTTCTTATCAACAGTTAGGGGGGATAGAACACACAATTAACCCGCAACACTAACTGCTGCTAGAAAACAAATCACCAAAAGACAGGGGGGATAAGCCTTAAATTATAATAAGCTGCCAAACGCAAACACAAGGTACATGCGATCTACACAAAACTACAAAGCAGGTAGAAACACCAGACCTAACGCACACAGGCGAACCTACCGCAAAACCCGAAGACAAAAAGGCAATATGCTTATCGATAAGCTCCCACTTACTGATAAACAGGGGGCTAATGTAGGTATGTACAACTCACCCAGACCTTCAAAAAACACTTAAACACCAAGAGTAACACCATAGTAGCACTTACGATTAGCTTGCAATCACCTCCCACGCTACGATGAACTTGTGGCACACCGCCACCTTTGCGATGAACCAACAATGCATTAAGCAAAATCGTGATAAACCTGCGGTCCACCAAGTCCAGTAAATGCCCAAACCTAAATAAACCTCAGAAAGACCCTGTTATGGTCCCACGCGTAGGATCCTGTCACGGGTTGGCCCACGGTACGAAGCCCTGCTTCCCCTTGCGCCTTCCCTTGCATGCAGACCCTATTGTGGAAACTGAATGGGTGATTTGTCCAAGAGACCACCCGAACTCTCCCTTGGGGTGATTTGTCCAAGAGACCACCCGAACTCTCCCTTGGGGTGATTTGTCCAAGAGACCACCCGAACTCTCCTCACTCTTTTCTTGACTGGAAAACTGAATGCTTTATTTCAATTCGTAGCTCCTTAAATAGGAGATTACAGAAGGAAATTCCTAATTAAACTCAAACTCCAACTTGAACTCAAACTCCTAATTACCTACTCCTAATGGTAACTCACTCTTACTTAAGATAAGATAAAGATAAGGGATAAGGGATAAGATAAGGATAAGGTAAGCTGGCGACGAGTTGGCTTGATGTGTCCAGATAAGGATGGGCCCACCCCTATGACCTGTCGTGTGGGCCCTGCTCTGCTGCTGCTGCCGCACAGTGCGTGCGCGCGCCTCATGGTGCCGCTGTTGTGCGTGCGCGCGCCTCATGGTGCCGCTGCCGTGCGGTGCCGGCGTGTGCGCGGTGCGTGCTGCCGTGCAGTGCGTGCGGTGCACGTTGCTGCCTGGCGGTGGGTGTTGCGCGCTATCGGCGGTGCGTGCTGCTGTGCAGCGCTGCCAGGCGGTGCCTGCTGCTGTGCGGCCTGCTGCCTATGACTGCGCCGTAGTGCGTTGCCGGATGGTGTGACCATAACATTACACCCCTCCCGGACTACGAGCTTGTCCTCAAGCTCGTGTTCTGGATACATGGCTTGGAATTCTGCGAATGGATCAAACGGCTGCACACAATTTCTCAGTCCACCAACAGTATGAACAACAGGGACTGCCCCGTCTCTCAGTGCATAACGCTGGATTATTTGATGCAGACCCCAGCCACGTTCTTTTATTTCCCGCTCCCAGGCGTAGCCATGGCTTACAGTGATTGCATGCTCTACTGCACTCAGGCCAGCCGCAAGGACATTGAAGTGTTCCCTACCTCYTGGGTCATATAGTTTGAAGTAGTTTCGTGGAAGGTCCACATAACAGAAATCACGTACTGAACCACAACCCCGGTGTGCTATGTTGTGGATCATAAGAATGCACTGGGTATGCTTACAGTAGAGGACCTCAAGAGCGGCCTTACCGAAGAGGACCATGCGTTTTAAAATATCCTCTCGGCCTTCCCCATATATATTTTCCTCAATATTACGAAACATAGGGCTGTCCATGAACACAAAATCTATGCCATSARTATAAGCTTGGAAGAAAATTACCTCTATATCCTGCCCCTCCACTTTACATCTCTTGCGCAATCCTGTTTCTTGGATTTTTGTATAGTTACCATACGGTGGTGCCGCAACCATAACTTTATGTCCACACCGAGCCAAGGCCTTCGGTAAAGCCCCAGCAACATCGCCAAGCCCACCTGTCTTCGTCAAAGGAGCGCATTTTGTAGGTTCTACTATAATGTTCATGACATCGTCCCTGGCCAAAGGAGGAGACTTTACAGTTTCATCCTCCGTGGGCTGATCCTTGGAAATAACTGTGGCTGTAGGGGCAGCGATCTGTTGTTCGCTGCATGCCTCTGCCCAGTCCGGACGGCGTCTGTTCATGTTGGTGATTCCCTCCGAACTCATTTCTTTGTTGGAGAGGAATGCTTCCAGCAGGCGTCGCATCTCCCTGACGTCTTCCCTGACTTCACGAACCTCCATGCTGGTTTCTGCAAGTTGGTGTTCCAGTTCGTGGACCTTGGAAGACAGCTGCTTCATATCGCCCATGACGTTTGGCTCTGATACCAA